GCGGCGGAGCGGGGCGGCGCTGTCCAGGGTGCTGACGGCCCGGCGCTCCGCGGGAGGGCTCGGCCGACCGCCGGCCCCTTCCCGGGGAAAGCTGCTGCTTGGTTCGGTGGCTGCTGTTCTCCTAATTGCCTTTCGAGCTTCTCTGCAGTGCGCTGGGGTCACGGCTGGGTAGTAGCGTGCGTGCCGCTTTTAAAGGACGCTTGAAGGCAAACGTTTCTTACCGCGTTACGTGTGGAAGGTAGTTAGGTCTTTGTTGTTTATGGGTAGACCTGTTGGCAGTGTCCCTCTTCGGGGATAAGTGATGCTTTCCATCTTAAGATCCGGCTCCAGTTGCTCGTAGCTTGGCCAGATAGTAACCATTCAAGTGGAAATTTTCCGTGCTGCTTTAGGCTTGATGGGTTTCTTGACGGGAACATTCTCTCACAGTCATTTCTGATAAGGTCCAGTAATTCATGAGGATGAGAAACTGGCATTGTTTTTTGTGTACGTTAAAAAAATTGTTTTAGGGATGCTATGAAAGACTAACTATTCCTGATATAAATGAGGGTTATGCGTTTTCCTCTGTCATAATCCAGTCCAAATTTGGCCACGCTGTCAACTCTGGAAATCCTTCATTTATACATTGTAAGTAGAGACTTGTGAGAGCTGCGCTACTAAATTTGCTGAATTTGCTTTTGCATTGTCTGTGTTCCAGTCGTGAATCCAGGGTCTGTACAGGGTGTTTTCAACAGCCATTGCTCCTCACTAGTGTGGTGCTGGCAAAAGAAATCAAAAACTGAGAGATTCTCTGCACTTTCTGAGAGCTGCCTGCTGGTGTCCATCTAACGTGGAGTTAGGAACTGCTTAGACTGGAGAAGGCAGCGACAAATAAAAATGGATCGCAGAGGGTAACAAAAGGAGTAGTCCAGGTCCAAAAGAGGACTTCTGGAAGATGGGGAATACGTTATCAGTCTGTTTGTAAAACAAATGAGGGAGTACAATTGTTTTGCATTATTCCTCCTAGACTCTGACATTTGCAGAAGCTTGCTGTCCAAAAGGTATCCTTTAGGAAGAGCCTTCCCTCTTCAGGCTACGATCAAAGCAATGTGTAGTTTCACCCCAAATTTATTTTGCACAGGATTGGTAATGTACTTCTTTTAATTGCCTTATGAGAATCAAGGATGCTCTGCTGTCTGGCTCAGCATTGTCTGCAGCCTTACAGCTTACTCTGAAAGTAGTATCAAGTTCAGAAAATACTTACATAATTAAAATATTTAAATTGAAAACAGAAAATATATTAATAAATCAGAGAATTCTAATTTTTCATGTCTCTTCATGGGAAAGGAGAAAGCAGCTGGAGGTAAAGACAGATGGAAGTCCAGAGCATTTAAATTAGCCTCATTCTCTTTTTGCTGCATGGCATCTCACCTCAGTTCAGAAACACAGCTAACGCCTCACCAGTTGTGATGTAGTTCCATTAGTAAGAGGCACTGTAATTTGCACTTGGTCTTGTTTAAACTTCAGGTGACTTCCATAACATATTTACGCTAAACTTAAAAGTTTCCTATGGTTTTTGAGTATAAGCAAACATAAGTTTAGAGGCAATTG